CACCTCTGTATATATTTACTTTATTATGTCATGTCGACAAGCAAATCTGCATCGAGATCAATCTGAAACCACAATCGAAATAACGAACTGTATGACACCTACAATAGATCAACCATCAACGTTTAAGCCTATGATATATGCGTGAAGTGCAATCATATTCGCGCGAATTTGATATGCGTCCTCGTTCCTTTTTCATTAATGTTACATGGTGTGCCATTAATCAAATCGTGACAGCTTGAATTGATTAAAAATTGTATGCATAACCTTGATTCAAAATAAATGAGTAGTTATTTTATTCGCAAAGCGGTAATCGATTATAAAAGGAGATAAAAAAAGTTATGTCTGTTGTGATTTCGATAGTTAACGCCTTTTCTGATTTTGTTGGCGAATATTTTATGAAATATATATTTTCATTTCACTACAATTCAAGATTCTCAATATAATACCTAAACACCTGAAAATAGATATTAAGTAAATTGTTTTAGATAAAGTTCTTCTGAAAGTAGTACAAACTAATCTGATGTACCTATTAAAGTCTACTTTAAGCTTTAGATCAATAAATCTTCAAAACTACTGAACTGAAGTAGATTAATTTTATATCATTATAAAGGGAATTGAAAGACCTTTAAAATAAGTTATCACTCGACCCCCCTTTCCATTTAAGATTTTGGGGGTGGTGTCACCCCCGCTTAGGGGGCTCCACGTGCTAACGTGATTTTTTGCTAAACTCGTGTCCCCCTCGACGGGTCTGAGCGTTTTTCAAAAAAAAAACTTAGCTGCCAGTAAATGCGTCTGTTTCGTTTTCAATGCGCCACCCTGTATAATGTAGATTCCATTCAGATTATTTTTCAACATTATGGCGTTGCGAAGTCACTGCAAATCGGGCAAAAACGCGTCTGATTGCGAACCAAATTTATTAAACGAATACAACCTCTCTAGTTTGAACTTGTCTATAAAGCATCCTACAAACCGGCGCGAAATATTCGCTTTGGCTGCGAAAATTTCGCGGCGATGAATTCGCGATCAGATTAAAATGCGGCGGTTTACGGACAGGCTCAGACTTGTGCGAAGCGAATGCGATTGTTCCAGCGTTTTTATCGCGGCGTATTTCAGTTCGCCTTTGACCGCGGTTTTGACGCCGTTCTTCAAAAATTCGCAATGGCAAAAACGGAATTATTGATAGAAATAGTGAAAAAGTATCCTTGTTTGTATGATTTGTCGAACGATGAATACAGGAATGTGAGAAAGAAAGACAAGATTTGGATGGAAATAGGAAAAGAATTAAATACAAATGGTATGTACCTAATATTTTTTATTAACTTGTTAAATAATTTACAGTCTACACAAATGTGAATATATTGGGCATAGGCATATCAGAATTAAAATAATTTACGAATTACGAGTCGAAAATGCTAGCCTTGCTGCCCGCCGAGGATCATTTGCTATATCAGTAAAAGCTCCAAGCACGGGTTCTGGGGATCTAAGAATTGAAAATATTTGTCATCGCCACTTTTACTTCGTAAAAAATTGTGTAAAACACATGCCGTACATACAATTAGAATAGTAGTATCTACTTTAGTTTCTAATGGCCTGTAAAATATTCGCCATTTTTGAGACAAAATACCAAACGCATTTTCCACGACCCTTCTAGCTCGACAGTCTTACATTGTATTTCTCTTTTCTGACGTCTGTTAAAGTCTGCTTATAAGGAAATGGTCTCATAAGGTATGGTTTTAAAGCAAATGCTTCATCACCAATTAAGACGTACGAGCAGATTTCATTTTGCCCAGGGAGAAATCTAGGTGCAGGGACACTCATTAAATTTTGTTCAAATCGTTTTCCCATGTTTGAGGTTTCGAAAATACCCCCATCACTATTTTTTCCGAAACCACCAATATCAACACATATAAATTTATAGTCCGGGCTAACAATGGCCATAAGTACTATTGAATATTTATGTAAATAGCACCAGTAATTGGAGCCACTGTTGTTAGGTCTCTGGATTGTTACATGTTTACCGTCCACGCTGCCAATGCAATTGGGAAATCCCCATCTATTTTCAAATTCTTCAGCACATTTTTTCCATATATTCTCTGTTGGTTCTGGTAAATATATATGCTCCATATGTCTGCATATCGCTTCACAGACTTCGGTTACGATTGCACTCACTGTTGTAAAGCCAACTCGAAAGCTATGCCCAATGGTATAGAAGGTGTCACCAGTGGCAAGGAATCTATAAAAAAATCGTTTTTAGGTGATGAAGTAAAAAAAAGGTGGAAGAATATCAGAGACACATTTGCAAAATATATAAAATCTACCAAACCAAAGACCGGCCAAGCAGTGGGCAACATAAAAAAATGGCAGTGGGCTGACTACCTGGAATTTTTCCGTCCTTTTTTGGCATTTACCAAAACGTCGTCTAATGTGAAAGATATTGACGTCATACATTATGAGACTGCCGAATTTAACTCAAATATATATCAGGAAAGGGCTGGAAGTGTAGAAACCGAAAATTTGGAAGACCGCGGCCATGGAGAAGATGAAAATGCTGATGTAGATGCAGAAGATGCACAGAACGCCCCGGCAACACAGACAGCACCACCTCATTGAACACTACAGCAGTGACTACTACAGGGCACACCTTTCAGCAGACTGCAACTACACCAAAATATAAAACGAGCAGAAAACGCTATGAACCACCATCTTCGTCTGTACAACAGCTCATTAATTATTTTGAAGGTAAAAAACCTAAAAAAGAGAACGAGGCCATTGATTCACTTTTCTTGGCACATGCACAGACTGTGAAAACACTTCCCTTAAAGCGTCAAGCCCGAATAAAACTAAAAATAGCCGAATTAATAGCGCACGAAGAATTTGAACATATTGAAGAAATGTCTTCAGCGTCTACCCAGAATTCTGCAAGTATGTATGATAGTAGTATGTCGTCCTTCCCAAGCGGCACTGGGTTTACTCCAATAATATACCCAACAGAGGAGGCAAATTCTGCCTCGAATTATTTAGCAACATTTAATCCTAGTGGCAACATGTAGTTCAATTATTACAATAAAATATTTATTTCACGATCCCTGAAGTTTTCGTATTCGATAAGCCTACTAATTTTAATACATATAATTTTTTTACCTGAGTGTAATAGCAAGTCGTTCTTCTGGCGAAGTAGCTTCACGATAATTTGTGTCAGAATTTCGTATTTCATCTTTCACCAAGTTCAATATTTCATCGAAACACTTTGGAGTCATTCTAAAATATACGTAAAAGCGCTGTTCATCCAGCCGAAGTTGTGGCATCAAGGTATGGTATTCCCCAAATTTATTTCGTTCCAAGTTAATATCATGTACCCACTTCCTTCGTTTCCTAAACAAAATTGAAAATATTTGTTTTATGTACTTCGTTAAACTTAATACATACCCAACTATCAAATGGCGTTAAATAAACATAACTTACCGTGCATTTTGTTCCTCTTCTAAAGCGAGAAATAGAAGTGCCTCCTCTTCTTCTGAAGACGAGCTCATTGCAAAAGGCAAAAATAAAATGTACGCAACCTGTCGAAACCTTCACGTTCCCGGAGCGAATAAGACGCTTTGGTATGAATAATAAAGCATCCCACAAACCGGCGCGAAATAATCGCGGCGAAGTATTCGCAACGAAATTCAGGGCGAAATTCGCAATCTGTTTCGCCTGTTTATTCATACCAAAGCGTCTTATTCGCTCCGCGAACGTGAAGGTTTCGTACATTTTATTTTTGCCTTTTGCAATGAGCTCGTCTTCAGAAGAAGAGGAGGCACTTCTATTTCTTGCTTTAGAAGAGGAACAAAATGCACGGTAAGTTATGTTTATTTAACGCCATTTGATAGTTGGGTATGTATTAAGTTTAACGAAGTACATAAAACAAATATTTTCAATTTTGTTTAAGAAACGAAGGAAGTGGGTACATGATATTAACTTGGAACGAAATAAATTTGGGGAATACCATACCTTGATGCCACAACTTCGGCTGGATGAACAGCGCTTTTACGTATATTTTAGAATGACTCCAGAGTGTTTCGATGAAATATTGAACTTGGTGAAAGATGAAATACGAAAATCTGACACAAATTATCGTGAAGCTATTTCGCCAGAAGAACGACTTGCTATTACACTCAGGTAAAAAAATTATATGTATTAAAATTAGTAGGCTTATCGAATACGAAAACTTCAGGGATCGTGAAATAAATATTTTATTGTAATAATTGGACTACATGTTGCCACTAGGATTAAATGTTGCTAAATAATTCGAAGCAGAATTTGCCTCCTCTGTTGGGTATATTATTGGAGTAAACCCAGTGCCGCTTGGGAAGGACGACATACTACTATCATACATACTTGCAGAATTCTAGGTAGACGCTGAAGACCTTTCTTCAATATGTTCAAATTCTTCGAGGTTTTTTACCTTCAAAATAATTAATGAGCTGCTGTACAGACGAAGATGGTGGTTCATAGCGTTTTCTGCTCGTTTTATATTTTGGTGTAGTTGCAGTCTGCGGAAAGGTGTGCCCTGGAGTAGTCACTGCTGTAGTGTTCAATGAAGAAGGTGGTGCTGTCTGTGTTGCCGAGGCGTTCTGTGCATCTTCTGCATCTACATCAGCATTTTCATCTTCTCCATGACCGCGGTCTTCAAAATTTTCGGTTTCTACATTTCCAGCCCTTTCCTGATATATATTTGAGTTAAATTCGGCAGTCTCATAGTGTATGACGTCAATATCTTTCACATTAGATGACGTTTTAGCAAATGCCAAAAAAGGACGGAAAAATTTCATGTAGTCAGCCCACTGCCATTTTTTTATGTTGCCCACTGCTTGGCCGGTCTTTGGTTTGGTAGATTTTATATATTTTGCAAATGTGTCTCTGATATTCTTCTACCTTTTTTTTACTTCATCACCTAAAAACGATTTTTTTTATAGATTCCTTGCCACTGGTGACACCTTCTATACCATTGGGCATAGCTTTCGAGTTGGCTTTACAACAGTGAGTGCAATCGTAACCGAAGTCTGTGAAGCGATATGCAGACATATGGAGCATATATATTTACCAGAACCAACAGAGAATATATGGAAAAAATGTGCTGAAGAATTTGAAAATAGATGGGGATTTCCCAATTGCATTGGCAGCGTGGACGGTAAACATGTAACAATCAAGAGACCTAACAACAGTGGCTCCAATTACTGGTGCTATTTACATAAATATTCAATAGTACTTATGGCCATTGTTGGCCCGGACTATAAATTTATATGTGTTGATATTGGTGGTTTCGGAAAAAATAGTGATGGGGGTATTTTCGAAACCTCAAACATGGGAAAACGATTTGAACAAAATTTAATGAGTGTCCCTGCACCTAGACTTCTCCCTGGGCAAAATGAAATCTGCTCGTACGTCTTAATTGGTGATGAAGCATTTGCTTTAAGAGACCATTTCCTTATAAGCACACTTTAACAGACGCCAGAAAAGAGAAATACAATGTAAGACTTTGTCGAGCTAGAAGGGTCGTGGAAAATGCGTTTGGTATTTTGTCTCAAAAATGGCGAATATTTTACAGGCCATTAGAAACTAAAGTAGATACTACTATTCTAATTGTACGTACGGCATGTGTTTTACACAATTTTTTACGAAGTAAAAGTGGCGATGAAAAATATTTTCAATTCTTAGATCCCCCAGAACCCGTGCTTGGAGCTTTTACTGATATAGCAAATGATCCTCGGCGGGCAGCAAGGCTAGCATTTTCTACTCATGACAAATTCGTAAATTATTTTAATTATGATATGCCTATGCCCAATATATAGAATGTTCGTTTTCACATTTGTGTAGACTGTAAATTATTTAACAAGTTAATAAAAAATATTAGGTACATACCATTTGTATTTAATTCTTTTCCTATTTCCATCCAAATCTTGTCTTTCTTTCTCACATTCCTGTATTCATCGTTCGACAAATCATACAAACAAGGATACTTTTTCACTATTTCTATCAATAATTCCGTTTTTGCCATTGCGAATTTTTGAAGAACGGCGTCAAAAACGCGGTCAAAGGCGAACTGAAATACGCCGCGATAAAAACGCTGGAACAATCGCATTCGCTTCGCACAAGTCTGAGCCTGTCCGTAAACCGCCGCGTTTTAATCTGATCGCGAATTCATCGCCGCGAAATTTTCGCAGCCAAAGCGAATATTTCGCGCCGGTTTGTGGGATGCTTAAACAGGCGAAACAGATTGCGAATTTCGCTCTGAATTTCGTTGCGAATACTTCGCCGCGATTATTTCGCGCCGGTTTGTGGGATGCTTTAGAGTAGCTTCTGGTTTGCTTATTCTGTAGTATAAACATCGTACTGTCGACATACGAAAACGAATGTTTGTATTCATGTCTGCGTCTAAGTGTAAGTATTACTGTCATCGGCAGCGTAAAGTTATTAAATTCTAGAATCTGTCACTGCGCGGGCCGCAAGACGCCTTGGAGTCTAGACTCCGTATATTAACCTTTCTGAAACCGTGTCGATACGAACGTCGCCGACGCTTTTCCTTTGTCCATGTGACTTGCAGGCAAGCGTGTAAAGCAGCGCTTGCCTTGTGTGGAATAACACCGCTAACAGGATAAAAACCGCAATCAAAATTGTATCGTGATGTTGGAATGGGAAGGGAAAATTGCGAAGAACCGGAAACGGAGTACGCTATATAAACAGTTTAAGAAGATACGTTCACGTTTCTCACTCTATAGCTTCCGCGAATTGTAACATCCATCAACAAAAAAAAAGCAAATTGTATAATGTGATGACGAAAACGGCTTCATGATATAGAACTTCAAAATGAATATAAATCTTAACAAAAGAGACTCAAAAAATCAAAGTAAAACCATGAAAACGCAATAACTTCAATCGAAAAAGACAACGACGAGCTAACAAATAATGATATCAATTTTTAGAAAATTTGTAAAAAATTGGCAGAAAATACAGTCAATGAAGAAAAACTAAATTATAGTATGACTAGACCGCAAAACTCATTATATCAATCACCAACAGATTAACACGAAATAATGAACATAACACTGGACAACAAATTTTAGTTTTTTAATTGTATCTTGTGTTGTCTTTGTTAATTTTGGGGCGCTGAATCCAAAAATGACAATGAAATAAAAAAATTAGTTGCGGTTTAGAAAAAAAACTTTTTATTTTTAAGGATATATTAAAAAAAGTATCAAGATTCATATGCTTATAAGAATCACTATATGCGCTGTCTTTTTGCTGTTCTTTTATGGATCGTTTCTGGAGCATCTCTACCAAGAGTTCAACAGTAGTCTGCAAGCATGGAAGGATTCCACTTTCCCTGGTACCTTTTTTCCATTGTTGAAATTTCCTGATGAAAACGTTCGCCGTGCTCATCACTTACGGCTCCGCAATTGTCAGGAAAAAAGTCCAGGTGTGAGTGTAGGAAATGTATATTAAGAGACATATTACAGCCCATCTTTTGATACGATGACAGCATATTTTTGACAAGGGTTTTATAGTTGTCAGCTTTTCTATTTCCCAAGAAATCAGTGACCACCAGACGGAAATCATTCCAAGCAGTTTTTTCAATACCTGCTAAAGTGTTTTCAAACTGTGTATCTTTCAAAATATTTCGAATCTGTGGCCCAACAAAAATACCGTCTTTAACCTTTGCCTCACTTAGTCTTGGAAATTTCTGACGCAGGTATTGAAAAGCTGACCCATCTCTATCTAATGCCTTGACAAAGTTTTTCATTAGGCCCAACTTGATATGCAGTGGTGGTAATAAATTTTTTTTCGAATCTACTATTGCCATATGCTGTACATTTTTTTGACCTGGCTCTAGGAATTGACGAACAGGCCAGTTTTGTCTGGTGTAATGAAGTGCCTTTACCCGACTGTCCCATTCACACAAAAAACAGCAAAACTTTGTGTAGCCTAGCTGCAGCCCAAGTAAAAGTGCAACAACTTTCAAATCGCCACAAATATGCCATTGGTGCTCATCGTATTTTATGCATGTCAATAGGTACTTCATATTGTCATATGATCCTTTCATGTGAACTGCATACCCTACAGGAAGAGATGGTAAAATATTTCCAATATGCAATAACACTGCCTTTAAACTCAATGAACTGTCTATAAACAATCTCCATTCTTCTGGGTTATAGTTTATATTTAAAGCCGCCAGTAAGCCGTCAATGTTACTGCAGAAAACCAAGTTATTCTCCATATTGAAAAATGGTTCTAAGTCTTTGTGGCGTTTACGAAAAACACATACCGAAACATCGTCTTCTAACAAGTTCCACTGCTGCAGTCTTGATCCAAGTAACTCTGCCTTACATTTTGGAAGTTCTAAATCTCTTACAAGATCATTTAATTCTGACTGTGTTATTTTGTGCGGGTGGTGGCATGACGTGCTCGGTATAAAATCAGGATCTCTTGACGTTGATGGCATATCTTCTTCCTGACGAATCACTCGATCGCCATGATCTGATTCGTTTTCTGATTCGCAAGTGTAGGATTCTGGGGGTTCTGGAATAGGATTTTCGTCACTGTGAGGCACAGGTCTCATCGCAGATGGTATGTTTGGGTAGTTAATAACAGATTTTTTTTTCTTGGACATACCTGTGGCTTGTCCAACACAAGGTACCATGTAAAAGTAACAATCATTAATATGATTTGTAGGCTCTCTCCAAACCATTGGGACAGCAAAGCGCATAGACCGTTTTTTGCCATTTAACCAGCTCCTCAGACTTGAAGCACATGTATTACAGCAGATGTGAGGTGCCCACTGTTTGTCTTAATCACCTAGTTTACAATCGAAATAAAGCTGATATGCCTTTGTTATTAGTGGAGTAATAGACCGTCTCTGAGACGCAAAAGTCACATCACCACACACGTAACAAAACTGATCTGGATTGTTTACACACTTTCGAGACATCTTGCATGAACGCTGTCAGCCAACTGAGGAAAAATGGCTAATATATGTATAAAACAATATAATGTACACGTATGTATAACGTAACACAATCATGCCGATTTCATCATCTTTCCTTGTCGAATATAAAAAAGTAGCACGTGCATTCTTGTGAATTACAGTATATTAACACCGTCACAGCAGTAACACATATAATTACCGTATCTCTAAAACTTGAACTAATATTGAAAAAATAAGTTTCATTCCGGTTTTAGCACATTAAAAATAGTAATATTTTGTTGATTTTATTTAGGATATTTTTTGGCTGTTGATCAGTGTAATTAATTTAAAGAAAAAAACCACCAGGTTAAGACAAAATTAAAGAATAGAATATTCTAATATTTGCGGTATACTTTCATGTTTAATTAATAGCATGAATAAAGGAGTATTCCCAAAAACCGTGTATTTTCTCAAAAAAGGAGGTTACCGATTTCATTAAAAAATATAACATTATATCAGCCTAACAGTTTGGATTTCAGTAAAGAAAATCAACACAAGATGCGATTATGCATGTATTACGTATTAGTAAAAGTGCTATTTTTTTTACTTTGATAATCCTTTTGAATATCCTAACTCTTTTGAGTATGGCTATTAAAGATAACAACTCTTTTATCTCTTCTTATATTAACAGTTAGAACTAAAACCTGAGATGGTCATATCAATCAAGCAAATATTTGGGTTATGCGTGAGGATGTTTTTATGTCAATATCGATAGTCTTTGTGTGAAGAAACATCCTGAACTAGTGTTGCATCATCCATGAGACAAAAGAATATTCGGAGAATTGGAAATTAAGTCTAATCTATCGGTGTCACGTTCTAGTAGACTTACACTAGATCCTACTGAAAACAAAATATTTGTACTGGTCTAGTATATCTATAATTTCGGGAAAAACTCATCGAGAAATCGAGGTATACATTTCGAAATTATTAAATTGTACAGAACAACGTGATCTTTGACTCAGAAAAACAAAACTGGAAGTCGCCCGCGTTATTCCAATACCAACTTAAGAGCATTAAAACGGATTATCAAAGAAACGCATTGAAGAT